TTTTTTTTTTTTTTAAAGACAGGGCCTCTCCCTTTGTCCAGGCTGGAACGCAGTGGCACAATCATGGTTCACTGCAGCCTTGACTTACTGGGCTCAGGTGATTCTTCCACTTCAGCCTCCCGAACAGGTAGGACTACAGGCACGTACCACCATGCTATTATTATTTTTTTTTTTGTATTTTTGTAGAGACAGGCTTTTGTCATATTGCCCAGGCTGGTCTCAAACTCCTGGGTTCAAGTGTTCCACTCGCCTTGGCCTCCCAAAGTACTGAACCTTGGCAATAAGTGAACCTTGGCGCCTGGCTTCATTTCCCCTTTTTATTACACAGAAGGTAGTATATCTAGATGTACTATTTTATACTTTGCCTTTTTCACTTCACAGTGTATCCAGGAAATTACTCTGCATCAGTGGACCGAGATATTCCTCATTCTTTTTTTCACAGCTGCATAGTACGCCATCATGTGTATGTGCCATAGTTTATTCAGTCTCCAGTTTTTGGGCACTAAGATTGTTTCAGTTATGTTACAATTACAAATAATGCTGTAATGAATAATCTTCTGCATATATTTTTTTGTATTGTTGGAGGCGTGTCTTCAGGGTAGATTCCTAGAACTGGAATTACTGGGTCGGGGGGTAAGGTCATTCCCCTACATGGTAGTTATACCCTTCTGAATTCCCTCTAGCAGTGGATCAGTGCTGGTTTCCATACAGCTCACCCAACAGAAGTAGTGATCAAAATTTTGAATCTTAATGCTAATCTGATGGGAGAGAAATGGTATCTCAGTGTAGGTTTAATTTGAGTTTCTCCTATTATGAAGTTGAACATGTTTTCTATATTGAAATTTGTCTTTATATTTTTGTCTTTTGTGACTCATCTCTTTTGTCTTTTATTCACTTATTTTTATAGGACTTTTTATCCTTTACCCTACTTTTTAAAAAGTTCTTTATGGCCGGGCGCGGTGGCTCACGCCTGCAATCCCAGCACTTTGGGAGGCCGAGGCGGGTGGATCACA